ATTATTTTTCATGCTTAATTTTTGTCCAGAGCATAACTATGAAAGCCTTTGAGATATCAACTTGAAACTTCATATATAGGTGGATAGATCTCATTAAGGAGGCGTGCAGCACACAAAAATGATAACTTACCCTGCATTATTTTTTCAGTTATTGCCCTTTGTTATTTTCAGCCATCAGTATTCACATAGGTTTCAAATCTGTAATCACTTCAGCCATCAGTTTTCATTACCAAAATACCTCTTAAAATTGAATTATTCTGCTCTACTACCAAATAAGTAAACACAAATGAAATTTATGAGCAGAAAATGAGATCGGTGACGCCTAAGTTTTTTGGCTTGAAATGTTTATCATATTCTAACATCATGCATGACATAATACTAGAATTAAATACTAAGGTGCCGTTTTTGCACACAATTGTAGTTGTTTTAACCTAAAATAGGCAAAAGTGGCGTCCCCACGTTAAACTGTACAAGTGTTAGCAAAAATGGCAATGAATTGCACCGTGTGCGTGTAATAAGCTGGAAAAGTACATTATGTGGGCTCCAGTCTCACTAGGTGTTTCCGGTAAAACATTAAAACATAAAGTAATTCAGTCATAACTTTACCGACAGCAGCAAACGGCTATATTTTATCCACCTCTTCTGTGACGAACTCTCCATAAACCAACCGCTTGCCAGTGTGATAAATAAATATTAATATTTATCATTTTAAATTCCTTAATCAGTCCCGTAACTACTGTCGAACATCGTTAATAATGTCCGCAGTCACTCGCCTGCCATTTTTCAACGTCTCTCTCGGCGATTGACGTCACCAACGTCCTTGAAAATTTCTTCTTTCTGCCTCTCCCTTATTTTTCTTATTTTCAATTTCTCAATCACCCTTTCTTAAACATTTATTTCAATCAAAAACTTAGCTGTTGCTACCTTAACCTTGTCCCTTTTTCCATTATCCCTTTCTATTTATATGTTTTAGACAGTTTCTCGACTTACTATTGACACAATTTCTTATTGATCGAATTTCGTGACGTTCCCACGGCATAATTTTAACGCATTTTTTTTACATGTGACATATAAATTGTGATTGCAGAGATAAGTGTGGTTTAAATGAAGCAATTTTTCTGACAACGTCAAATGTGGCACATGACGTTTCGGCGTATTTTGAAATCTTATTGTGTCATATTGTAAAATATACGCTTCATAAAGCGCCTATTTTCAGCGCAAATTAATGCGCTGCGCAGGGTGTGCGTTGCCATGGGTTTTTTATTCGCTGTAACGTACTAGCTATTTGCGTTATCAAATTAGATATGGCATACTTTTCCGATTGATTGTGATATAAGTTTGAATTGACAGCCCCAGTCCAGTTAATTTTTGATCATCCTTCGTATGTCCTGAAGACTTTAGAATCTTTTTCCATTTTAGACATACATATAATATATTTATAAGGAGGATTAAGCATATGCACTATTTACAAGTCATATTCACAGGGACACTGATCATTTCCGCTACACTATTGTCTATCAGGATGATAACGCTTTATCAGAAATTCGTGCTTACTTAATAGGCGGGGTTTAATATGCTGTTTTATCGAATTTCGAAGCGTCAGAATGAAAAAAATATGTTAAGATAAAGTTAAGCATCTTAAAAAATAAAGATCACGATATTGCTAAAAAGGCGTGGAATGATCTAAGGAAGTGCTACTGATGTATATCCAACCGTTTTCATGTTTGTACTTTTCTTAGTTTTCTTTAGGCTGCTAACTTCTCAAATTTCGAAGTGTCAGAATGAAAAAAAAAAAATAAAGTTCAATATTTTAAAAAATAAAGATCCCGATATTTAAGTAAGACGTGGAATGGTCTAAGTATATTCCGACGGTTTTCATGTTTGTACTATCCTTAGTTTTCTTTAGGCTGCAAGGCTGCTGGGATGTTTGGCTGCTTACTTCACAAATTTCGAAGCGTCAGAATAAAAAAAAAGATGTTAAGATAAAGTTCAACATCTTAAAAAATAAAGATCACGATATTGAAAAAAGGCGTGGAATGGTCTATTTCCGACTATTTTCATGTTTGTACTATTCTTAGTTATCTTAAGGCTGCTAGGCTGCCAGGCTGTTAGGCTGCCAACTACAGGCTGCTAGGCTGCCAGACTGTTAGGCTACCAACTTCAGGCTGCTAGACTGCCAGGCTGCTAGGCTGCAAACTTCACGAAACATATAGAGGATATTTGTTAAGTTCGGTGTAAGATCGGAATATATTTCACCGAGTGAGCACCAAAAGGTATATTTCACGAGTGGCGCAGCCACGAGTGAAATATGAACTTTTGGTGTGTTCACCAAGGTGAAATATATTTCGATCTTACACTAAACTAAACAAATTTTTCTTTTTATTATATGCAAAGAAACGTTTTAAAAAGACATTAAACCTAATACTAAATGAAAAGCGCGCCAAATAATAAAACAACGTGACGTCATTTACGACGTCACGTCATTAAGTTGGTTCCCAGTACTGTGGACGCTGGTATTTCACTGAAACAACGCAAGGGGCTTAAATTCAAAACAGTGAAATTATCAAATTGATAACTTCACTGTTTAAAACAGTGAAATTACCAGTTTTATATCACTGATATATTTCTATAAACCACCGAAAAGCATGTAATAAAGTTTGCTATTCATTGTTCGGGACATTTCATTTTTGATAATCAAACACCCTAAATACCAATCGGAATAATCGGCTATTATGACCGTCGAAAAGGCCCGAGAAGTTGCTGTCGCCCTTTTACAAAATCTGCTTGGAGAGGTCATCAGACCTCTCCACAGTGTTCAGACTGATTGCTGGCGGCATCCATTTTTGCGTATCTGATTGTAGTGAATTAATCTCATGTAAAGCGTAAAGTCATTAGGAACAGTCTACAAAAATTGTTATGCGCATGCTCCGTTTCAAAAAACGACTTAACTTAAACGAAAAATTAACATCGAAGTGAACAAATCGGTACATAGAAAAATCAGAAAATATCATTTAATACGTTACTTAGCCCACGTTAATGTCTCATACCGTTTTAATATTTTAAACTGTATAAGTCGATTACCGTATTGTTTTCTGAATACTAGTAGTGCTTTACTATTTCATGTTCCGATAAATAGTTACAGTGAACATTATAGCTACAGTATCACCATGAACTATTATAAAAATTATGACCGAGTGAACCGTGTGCCAAAATTTTGCTGCTCCTTAAACTTTTGAACGTTTTCGAGTTATTTCGGCCCCAAGACGTATCGGCCTCAAATTTCCAAAGACGTTTCGGCCCCATCGTTTCGGCCCTTTACCAAATCGGCCCAATATTTGGTTAAGAATAAGTCTTACTTTTACGTGTTTTATGCCAGAATTTTAATAGCATTTCAAGAAATGAATGAAATAAGGGAATGAGAGAATTAATTGAATAATTAAATTTTATGATTTTGTAATTGAATGAGGCTTTTAAAATAGTAGTGATCAAAAGAAATAGAACAGAACATAAACTTTATTAAACAAAACATAGTACACAAACACTGAAAAAGATTTTCACCTGCTTATTATCAACAAGCTTTTTTTTAACTTGAACATTTAAAAAGCAAGACAAAGAACAACACATAAATTAAACATTTATTATTAACAACTATTAAATTATAATAAAACAAACAATACATTGTAAACAGGCATTTTTTTTTAACAAATAACACTTTTTTACAATAAAAGTGACAGATTTTCAATCAGAACGTTATAATGATAATCTAAAATATTATCAAATCATAAGTTTAAAACTTTTGAAGTTTTCTTTGATATTACTAACCTCTAATTAGCAATAATTAGATAATTAATTTGTTACACCTTGAAAAAAAAACATACCTAAATATAAAATAAATATTGTTTGTGTGCAATCAATCAATCAATATACTTCATTTTTCTAACGATTTTAAGTTTAAAATTCCTTTTTAAATGTAATTAAAAAAGGGCCGAAATGTCTCGCGGAAAAGGGCCGAAACGTATAGGGGCCGATTTTTGCATAGGGGCCGCAACGGAGATTTTTTGGCGCAAATGGCACACATTTTACTCAAGTTTGATTTTCATCAAATATTGTGGTTGGAGGCATGCAGCTATATATACTGTTTATTCCAATCAAATGATATAAACATTTTCTATGTAAATCCTGGACTTAAAATTATTTGATTAAAATACTTTATGCCCGTTTTTGAAAATGTAGTAGAAATGTTTCCATATACTTACCGAAACATCAACCGAAAATTTGCTTATTGAATTTTACAAGAAACTTTTGATTTTGAAACTACTTTTAACATATATATTAATATATAATTTATTTTAAATTTAGCAATAGAAAGAGCATCGAAACATGAGACCATCTGATTTGTATGAGGGGCGTAGCCCCCATGTATTAATCAGATTGTCGAGTGTTTTGATGTTTTTTCTCTTTTGTATCATAGTCAAACATAAAACACGTTCCCTTTTGTTACAATTTGAAACCCCGGAAAAAAAGGAACCTCAACCAATGAACGAGCGTCTGAATATGATATTTTTGTCGCTTTCCCTTTCTCCGCCGTCACAATAAGTAAACCCTAGCAAAAATTAGCCGATCAATGGGCTTGCTCTTGAGTGCGGGTGCGCCATGAAAAAAGTCCATTTCTCCGGCATATAATCTTTCAAAACATTTTAAAAAATGAAGTGTAAAACAATCTTTCATTATGATACTATATTCAATATATTTAATAAATTCTATTTTGTTAAATAATTGTAATTTATAAAAAATATTCCCAAATATTTTCGAACCACAGCAGCAAAAAGACATCTCTCATGCTTCATTTTAAAGAAGCAAACTTGTTTCATTCCAGAAGGGGCGTCGCGCTTCGGCTCGGACGCCAATAATGGCTACCACTGTTGGCAAGGGAGGTAAATATTGTAAAAAACGGAAACTATCTGTAGGTATAATTTTAATTGCTGTATCATCTATTTCAGACAATGGCATATTATATTGATGTTGAGCATGTTGCCGCTTTTGAAGTTTCTTTGGCATCAGAGGGATCTGAAGATTTTGATATTGTGAGTATTGCTAAAAACAACAAGATCATACGACAAAATCAGTGACACAGTCACACATTAATAGATTAACCTTTCTTTTATGCTTTTCAGTGGATTACTGATTTATCTGTGAAAATTGTATAGAGGATATTTGGTAAGTTTAATGTAAGATCGGAATATATTTCACCGAGTGAATACTAAAAGGTATATTTCACGAGTGGCGCAGCCACAAGTGAAATATGAACTTTTGGTGTTCACGAGGTGAAATATATTTGAAATTCGATCTTACACTAAACGAAACAAATTGTCTTTTTTGATTACATGCTTTTCGGTGGTTTATAGAAATATATCAGTGATATAAAAACTGGTAATTTCACTGTTTGAAACAGTGAAATAACCACTTTGATAATTTCACTGTTTTGAATTTAAGCCCCTTACGTTGTTTCAGTGAAATACCAGCGTGCACAGAACTGGGTACCAACTTAATGACGTGACGTCGTAAATGACGTCAAGCTGTATTATTATTTGGCGCGCTTTTCATTCAGTATTAGGTTGAATGTCTTTTTAAAAATATATCCTCTATATTATATGCAAAGAAACGTTTAAAAGGACAGTTTAACCTAATACTTTAAATGAAAAGTAATAATACAACGTGACGTCATTTACGACGGGACATCATTAAGTTGGTTTCCAGTACTGTGAACGCTTGTATTTTAAGGAAACAACGTAACGGGCTCAAATATTCAAAACAGTGAAATTATCAAAATGATTATTTCATTGTTTCAAACAGTGAAGTAATCAGTCTTTGTTTCACTGATATATTTCTATAAACCACCGAAAAGCATGAAATAAATTTGAAAATTTCACAATCAATGAAAAATATCAAAATATAATTTCGACGAGACTACTTTTTAATATTTCCCCATGTGGTACCTCATTTATATTTTTGCTGACAATTCTGACATTGTCAGGGCTGTTTAGAGAAAAAAAGCAAAGCTGAAATTGATAAATAACTTAAAACTTCAAAAGTAATAAAAAGAAGAAAACTTACTTCAATTCTTTCAAATTACTAATCACCAAATAGCTCCTCAAAATTTTTTGTTTCATTTCTACAGTCTGAAAATTACAATTCCTTCCACATGCAACACTGCTATTGGTGACATTTGACACATTTCAGTATCCTACCAGCAATAGCTGCCTAGTGCAATATGAAAACTTGAAAATCAATGACATCCATCAGTCCGAAGAACAAGTAAACAGCCCAGTGTCCGTTATTAGTGGGATCATTTCGTGCTTGAAAACAGTGAAATTGTTCACCTTGTGATAAAAGCATGAAACTTTGCACAATGGTAGTTCAAAGTATATAAGGTTATATAGGCTATGGACCCAATTTGAAAAATTCAAAATGGCCGCCATTTTTCAAGATGGCTGCCAATATGTCCGAAAATTAAGAAAATGCCCTTTTGTTGAATATTTGTGGTGATTACTTGATAATACAAATGGAATATTACAATATTTTATTATCTATTGTCTTGAAATTGAAATTTAGATAAAAAATAAATATGTTATTGAGATATTTTTTTCAATTTTGTGTTGTTTTAAGGTAAAAAGGTGAAAAAAATATGGTAAAAATCCTTAAAAATCACATATTTTTACCTTTTAATCATAGATTTACACACGTTGTTGTCTTTTTGAAATACTGTAATACTCTTTAGTTGTTTATACACTTAACACAGTACTGTACATGTCTGACTGACGAGTTGCATGCCTGATATGTGCTACGTATAAGCTCAAATCCAAAGAAAGCTCATAGGACAATCTCGAAATTGGCACGCAGACATTTCTTAGGTTTTCAAAATATTTCAAAATGTGCATTACATACGTACGGTGCAAAATTGCTCGTTATACTTATATTGATAATTTCCAGAATGTTTTGCTTTATTTTTTATGATTAAGTAAATAAAGAATTTAGCATAGTTACTTCCCTTTGTTTGATATTCCCCATTTGTGTGTAGCAGAAGAAAACTTCTTGTGCAGGTTTTTTTCAACTGTTGTGTGAAAAGTTTCAAGATTTTACAATATTTGCTGAAAATTAGGTAAGTGGATTACTTTCTTGATGTTGTAGCCTTGCTTTTAAAATTATATTTAACATAAGATATGTCTTATAAGAGTCATGCTCAAAAATTTTAAAAACTGTCATAGTCTTCGGATATATAATAGTGTTCGGATAAATTGACGAATTAATGTTAATCAACAGCTTGTTTTGTACAACTATTACAATTAATATCGTTTTTTTCTTATTTTGAATCAGAACCGCGTTACTTTAATAGGAATTTGGCGAACTAAGGAAATAAATACCCGCAATGCTTTCTATAATACATGATTATCATATGTCGGTACCATTGCAGTTTAATTAGATTATATTTTTCAATGTTTAACAAACAAAAAAAATCAATTTATAAAGTAATATTCCATCGACAATGACACGTAAATAAAAAAGTTTATTTATCTTTTTAGGAAGATCCAGTATAGCAGCTCTATATAAATTGAAACAGCCACACCATGTAACGTCAGAACATTCATGTATTTAGGCATCGTATGATTAACATGGAATCACTTGATGGTAAGCTTCAGGTTCTATGTTTCTATGTATCTGTCTATCTATTATCCCTTCACATCTATGTATGTGTCTGTGTATGTCTATTTATTTATCTATGTATGTCTATGAATGAATCAATGTATGTATCTATCTTTGTATCTATGTACATGTATCTAAGTATCTATGTATGTCTATGTATGTATCTATGTATGTCTATGAATGAATCAATGTATGTATCTATCTTTGTATCTATATGCATATATCTATCTATGAACCTATACATGTATCTGTCTATCTATTATCCCTCTATCTATGTATGTATCTACGTATCTTTGTATCTATCTATCTTTATGTCTAGATATTATCCATCTATCTATGTATTTATCTATGTATGTTTCTATGTATGTATCTGTCTATGTATATATCTATGTTTGTATCTATGCATCAATCTATGAATCTGTGAACCTACCTACCTACCTACCTACCTTTCTACCTACTACCTACCTACAAACCTGTCTATCTATCTAGTCAAGTCCAGTCTAGTCTGGTCCAGGTCTGTCTAGTCTAGTCTAGAACAAAAAGTAATGTAATAAGCATTTTTTTAGAAATTTTTGATAACATAAATTTACAAAAGCAGAAAAAATACTTCATTTGACAGACATATTGAATATGTTATCTATAATTAATATATTTTCAGGTAAGAATCTAAGCTTCCAGAGAGATGTGGGAAATGTTACAAAGAACCCAGTGCTTTTTTCAAGTTCAAGGTTATATGACGTCACGCCTAAAGTGCCACAAACATCACCAAAGTCTAAACTAGTACACTGTCCAATAGATTGGTTACATTGTATTCTCTGTCAAACACATTCAAGGGAAGCGCTTCAGTGTCCCGCATTGATTAAACGCAATGATGTTTCTAAAGGTGCAGGCTATGAGACACTGCTAAGTGATATATCTAGTTATCATGAAGTTGGATATTTTCCAGTACCGATAAATTCAACATTATTAGGGGAACAGAAAGATGTAGTTGAACTTCTCTTAAAAAATGAAGCTAAATGGCACAAGAATTGTCGTAACAAATTTAGCAAACTGAAACTTACAAGGCTACATAAGCACAAGTTAAAAGTTGAGGCCGAAACTGACAGCAGTACACCAAACAAAATAACTCGTAAGAGTTGTGGTGCAGCTACAGTGGCTGATTGTAAAAAATGTTTCTTTTGTAATACAGAATCTGGAGATCTTCATCAAGCTTCCACATTTGAAATGGACACAAAAGTTAGACAATGTGCTTTAGATTTACAAGATACAGTTCTTTTAGCAAAACTTAGTGCGGGAGACCTCATATCACAAGAAGCCATGTATCATTCTAATTGTTTGGTAACCCTTTACAATAGGTCCAGGAAGCTGCAAGCAGAAAATGATTCAAATAAATCTTGTCAACAATTACATGGCATTGCTCTTGCAGAACTAGTGTCGTATATAGAAGAGAGTAAGTCCAGTGATTCAATAACCATACATAAGCTTGCAGATCTTGCCAAGATGTATTCTTCACGTTTAGCCAATTTAGGTGTAGATACTACCAGCCGTGTTAATACAACTAGATTAAAGGAGCGCATAATGGAACACATTCCAGACATTGAGTCTCATAAACAGGGCAGAGATGTGTTGTTAGTACATAATGAAGACATTGGCAAGGTAATAAAACAGGCATCTGAGAAGGTATATGATGATGAAGCAATTGCTCTTAGCAAGGTAGCATCGATGATAAGAAGAGACATTTTCAATCAAAGTTACTCATATGACTTTAATGGGACATTTTCTGACAAATGTCAACAAGATTCAATCCCAAAATCATTAAAAGCTCTAATTGAAATGATACTTAGGGGTCCAAATATCGTCGATCAAGAAAATGAAATTTCTAATGCCCAGAATGTACTTAGTATAGCACAACTTATTGTATTTAATTCAACCAGTCGTCGCAGGAATCAGTCAGTGTCCACATATCACACAATAGCTAGGGAACCTGCATTGCCAATATATATTGGATTGATGATCCATGCCGAGACTAGAAAACGTGGTATCATTGATAAACTCAATAATCTTGGAATTTCAATTTCCTATAACAGGGTGCTGGAACTTTCAACCAAGATGGGCAATAGTGTCTGTGATCAGTTTGAGCAGGAGAATATTGTATGTCCTTCTGTTCTTCGCAGAAATATATTTACCACCGCTGCTGTAGATAACATTGACCACAATCCTAGTTCCACTACAGCTCATGGTTCATTCCATGGAACTGGAATTTCTATTTTCCAGCATCCGACAAGAGAGTGTCCTGGAGAAGCCCGCAATGTCAATGTAATCAACAAAGGTGACCAACAAACTAGATTAAAACAACTTCCAGATTCTTATGCTAACATACCGCCTGTTGCTATCCAGAGAAAATCTGGAATTCCGGAGGCAAACAGACCTTTTGCAAGTGACTGTCAACAAATTCTACCAGCGCTTCAAACCGAAGAAAGGTATAAATTGTTTTTTGATTAACAAGAATTCTAGTTTAAGTTTGTAATGCATTAAATGACATGATCATCATAGAGTTATAACATACTTTTAGACTTTATTGGTTAAGTAAGCTCTGTTACATTAAAAACACTTCATGTTTGGTATTCATAATTGATTTTGTACATAATTGTGTCATAAGTAGACAATATTTTCAATCTGAAAGAGTCATGAAGTTAATCAAGGTATCTTATGTTTAACTTTGTTGTCCATTTTAGGTGGTTGGAACATGTGAGGAATGAGGTTGAGTCAAAAGAATCACAAGATACAGCGATATCATGGTCAGCATTTCATGCCAATGTGGCCACTCAGAAAGAGTATGATTCTCCTGTTGACATTGGTGCTTTATTACCACTATTCAATGATGAAGCCAAGTCTGTGTCCATGATACGTCATTCTATGAGTATCATAGCAGGTATTGTACATCACCTTAACCCTGGACAAATCCCAGTAATGACATGCGATCAGCCACTTTATGCTTTAGCTAAACAAATACAGTGGGACTGGCCTGATATATATGGTGAAGCCAAGTTTGTAATCTTGCTTGGAGGTCTTCATATTGAGATTGCTGCTTTGAAAACGATAGGAGATTGGTTACAGGATAGTGGCTGGACACATGCACTTGTGCAAGCCAATATTGCTTCTGCAGGTACAGCAGATTCGTTCCTTAAAGCGTCTCATGTTGCCCGATCCCGCCATGCTCATCAAGTAACAGCATGTGCCTTGTATATTCTGATGTATCAGGCGTACCAGTCCTTTCTTGAGTCACATGTTGGAGACCAAGGTACAACAGCTGTTGAGTTTAGTGCTTGGCGTACGCAAAGAGAAAATGAAAGTCCACAGTTTCTGTTTTGGTCGATTACATTAAAACTAGAACAGTCAATTTTAATGTTTGTGAAATCATTACGAGAAGGGAATTTCAAGCTATACAAAGATACAGTTACAAACCTTTTACCATGGTTCTTTGCCCTGGATCATCCAAACTATGCACGATGGTTATCAGTACATGTTCGTGATTTGATGAATTTAGATCACATTCATCCCAATATTGCTGAGCAGTTTGAAAATGGGCGCTTTGTAATCCGCAAAACTCATCATGCTTTCTCCTCGATTCCCATTGACCAAGCTCATGAACAAAACAATAAATTAGTTAAAGGTGATGGTGGTGCTATTGGCCTTACTGAAAACTCAAACCAGCTATTACGGTGGATGGTATCAGGACCAGAGATTGCAAGAGCTCTCCAAGAATTCGAGCAAGGGCAGAATTGTAAGAACAGTTCACTAACCGATGATAAAGATGTTAAGCACCATGAACAGAACAAAAGCACGCAAGTGAGATTTGGAAAACAAGTAAAAGACTTGTGTGCAGTCATTGAAGAGTTTGGAAATCCCTTTAATGATTACACAGAGGACCTTTTAGTATTAGATACTCGGAACATACTCGATGATCAGGTGAAGGACACCGTCAAGCAAATTGAAAGAGTTGGCAAAGAACAATTTGAAACCTTCATTACTGAACGATTTGATACCAGACAAAAGCCTGTCACTGATCCTATAAAGCAGAATAAATTCCCGCTTTTTAGTAGGCCTGCAATTAAAGAAAAAAGCAAGGAGAAACAACAAATTTCTTCACTTAAAGACACTTGTTCACTTTTTTCAAAGTTATATGTATCTTGTCAGGTGCGCAAAGGGGACCTTGATGAGTTTTTTCTCCATGAGAATAGCAAGTATCCTCCTTCAATTTCACAGTTCGGACATTTAAGATTTGGTTGTAAATCTGAATTGTTAAACTGCCTCGAGCAAGTATGTCCATCTGAATATGAAATACCAGATGTTGATGTAAAGATTTTCGATGGTGCAGCCATTATCAATATATTAAAACCTAATGGCTGTCAAACATTCCTTGAGTACTCACAGAATGTGTTTATACCGTTCGTTGAGCGTCAGATACAGAGTGTTTCTAGAGTGGACATTGTTTGGGATGAATACATAACAAATAGTCTAAAAGCTACAACAAGAGGCAAACGTGGACAAGGTATTCGTAGAAGAGTCCAGTCAGATTCACGAATTCCTGGAAGTTGGGAAGCCTTTCTTCGAGTTGATGAAAACAAAACAGAGCTATTTGGGTATTTAGCAGATCAGGTGATAACATTAACATGTGACAACAATAAGCAGATCATAACCACAAAAGGATCAGATGTTCTGAGCAATACACCAATAGAAGATAGTAGTATCATATCTCCATGTACACACGAAGAAGCAGATACAAGGCTTTTACTTCATGTTGCTCATGCTGCAAGGCTGAACAATACAAAAGTCCTTGTACGCACTGTTGACACAGATGTTGTTGTCATAGCTATAACAGTCTTTCAACATATAAATGTACAAGAGCTATGGATAGCATTTGGCACTGGAAAACAATTTAGATATATACCTGTACATAAACTCTGTAATGCTCTTGGTCAAGATATAGCAAGTTGTTTATCGGCATTCCATGCGTTTACTGGATGTGATCAAACTTCATCATTCTGTGGCAAAGGTAAAAAGACAGCATGGGGTACCTTAAAAGCATTTAGTGAAGCTGTCGAAGCATTTCAAGTTCTTAGTAAAACTCCAACAGAAGACTCTATTGCCACTGTTATGCCAACGTTGGAGCGATTTGTAATTCTTATGTACGACCGATCAAATGCTGCTACAGGAGTCAATGAAGCGCGAAAAGACCTCTTCACACGAAAAGGAAGATCTATTGATGGAATTCCACCAACCCATGCAGCACTTTTACAACACACTAGACGAACTGCATATCAGGCTGGGTACTGCTGGGGACAGGCGCTTTTGCCCTCCCCAGAACTTCCTTGTCCTAGTAACTGGGGTTGGGTGAAAGGTCAGGGTAATACATGGGAGCCGTTCTGGACAACACTACAACAGGCCTCCGAGTCTTGCCAGGAGTTACTGAAGTGTAGCTGTAGTCCCCAGATTGGTTGTCGTGGGAGGTGCAAATGTATCAAAGCTGACTTGATGTGCACAGCTCTTTGTCTGTGTGGTGGAGATTGTGACCGAGGATAGACTTATGGGCGAGGTTCAGGGTCTGTGTAATTTATGGTGTTGTTAGTAATATTGGTATATCTTGGTTTGTTCAACCTATCTACTATGACTTCAAGTGATACACAATCAAAATAGAAGTACTGAATACATCAATTATACTTTGGTACATAAAAAACACTTTTTTGTGCATTTGGCGGCCATTTTGGAAGCCATTTTGAAATAAATACAGCACTTAAATTCAAATCTTATTAGAGATAAACAACGATATATATGTGTGCAACATGAAATAGGTAAATTTAATAACAATTTATCAATTTATTAAACAGTATTCTCATTGCCAGTAATTGTTTTATCTTATGGAAGCCATCTTGGCGGCCATCTTGAAAATGGCGGCCATTTTGAAAATTGGAGATGGGTCCATAGCTGAAATTGAACAGAATTGGTTCATCAACAAACATGCCAAGTTTGTTGCTTTTATCACAAAGTGAACAATTATTTCACCATATGATCCCACTATATGCAGCTTTTTAACAATTTAACTGTTTCCAATTTCCTAGCCGCTTTTTGAATGTTTACACAACTGTCAACACTTATTCATTTTCTGTAACTTTCATCAAATAAGTTTTCTTTCTTAAAAAATGATGTATGACTAACAGATGCAAATGATATCCTTTATTTCATGCTTGCCAATCTTTAACTGTTATATATCAGATGATTATATTCTGATAAACAACCAGTGAAATTCATAAAATATAATTTTCACTGTAGCTGGACTATATCTAATGCGGATGAAAATACTTTATTTTATGATTTTCAGTGGATTACTAATTTATCCGTGAAAATTATATTTGGTAATTTCACAGTGAAAATTATCAAAATATAATTTCACTCTTTTCAATGACGAAACTACTTTTTTAAGATTTTCCCCATGTGGTACCTCAATTTTATTTTTGCTGACAATTCTGACAATGTCAGGCTGTTTAAAGAAAAAGCAAAGCTGAAATTGATAAATAACCTAAATGTCAAAAGTAATAAAAAGAAGAAATAATACTTCGATACATTCAAATTCCAATCACCAAATTTCGTCTCTAAATTTTTTCTTGTTTCATTTTTACAGTCTGAAAAATACATTCCTTCCCCATGCAAAACTGCTCTTGATGACATTTGGGCATATTAAAGTATCCTACGAGCAATAACTGTCATATGCCTCCTGAAAAATTGAAAAGCATTGACAGCCATCACTCGAAAAATAAGTAAAACAACCCAGCGTTCTAGAGCAAGCTTCTAAGTTTTCCATTTTCCTAGCTCCTTTTTATGAATGTTTTCACATCTGTCAACACTTATTTCTTGTCTGTTACAATCCTCAAATAAGTTGTCTTTCTTTTAAAAAGGTGTATGACTAACAAATCCAAATTATATCCCCCTGAATCTTACACATTTTTTTCCTCCCATGAAATACACAACTTTAAAAAATGGCTGCCGCTTACAATTAACAAAGTCAGGTCTAATATAAATTCGCAATAAGTAACAGAAATATGGATGGATGGTTGGACTTTTTCTCCTACAAGAATTGTTTGTTTTTATTATTAAAACAAGCGATCATTCATATTTTTTTAATAAAATGAATAAATATCACCGTCATTTAACGTTGATTGGCGGACTTATTTTTCAGCTCAAGACTTCTTGTTTTTAATGAGAAATTCAGACTAAATGGGTCTCTGAATGGGGGAAACAGTTTTAATATTATCGTTAGAATTATGGAAATTTCGTTTTAACTTGTTTTTAAGCATAAAATAAAAAGAAAATTTGTCTGTTTGTTGTGTAAGATGTAATTTTATTTCATCTCGTGAACTTTAAAAACAGTATACTGTTTTTACACTTATTCTCACGCGAATTGTGAAATTGATGTCTCTGCACACTCTGAACATAATCGATTCAGAAAAACTTGCTATTTGATAGATAGCGTGCAAAAAGTATATAAGGGAATTTTTTTATCCATAGACTTCATTGATAACACATTCGATTCCAAAATTTTATGAGGGAAGCAATTGGAAATGTAATGTTCTAGACTGTCGCCATTTTGGATTATTAAAGTTTGAGCTAGTGTAACCCCAAAAACCTATACAATTTCGGCAAAAAATTAATTTGTGCAGGAGTATGTATGTCTTCTTATCTGTTTTCGAAGCTTGACCCACATGAAAAGACTGATCTTTGTCATAAGTAGAATGTTTTAGAACTGTCGCCAAAATGTACTTGTATCGGTAATGTACGCGACTTGTAAATTAAGTGCCGTACATACATGTAACTGAAAATAACTTAGTAATCTAAGTCGTTTATATGTTTATTTACAATTAAATACTTATGCTACTATAGCCAGACTTATCTTTCTTATGATAAATTCTAAGAATTAACCGAGATTCTATTACTTTGACAGCCTGTGCCAGATGATGACTTAAGCATGTAATGTTCGCTACTTAAGAATTAGTACGTTCTATGCACTATTTCCCAATTAAGGAATTTTTAATTAATAAATGATTTAAATTTGGAAGGATATATAATAACCAAATCTGAAAGAATTGTGCCAACGAATCTTTTAATATATCTATATACACATATGTCTGTAATGTACGCAACTGTAATGTTCAATACAATAATCAAAGGGCTGCAAGCTCTGTGGTATTTTCTGATATTTGCAATCTAAATCATACTGACTATCTGTATGTATTTTCCTGTATAAGTTTATTTGAATGCCGCCGTTCCTTGTCGATCTTGTTTATCATATTTTATATACTATAATTCATCTTACGCAGCGACTGCGTTAAGATTTTTTTCTATAACAATTTGAGATTGATACATATGGAAATTTGCATGACTAGAGTTGCATCAAAAATCATTTTTCATTTTTTTATGACAGCCACACTTTATCCTTGCATATCGTGGCTAAAGACACTTCAAAAAAAAAAAAAGTTGCCTCGACTAGGATTTGAACCTTAGGCCTCTCACACCCTAAGCGAGCGCGCTACCTCTGCACCACAGTGAAGTAATACGTAAGTAGCTTGAATAAAAACAAATACATTGAATTCTAAATTGAGAATTTACATTTCGTGTTTGTAATCCTTATTAATTTCGAGGTATTTTGTTCACGATAAACCTGTTGTTTAATACTGATGAAAATAATTTAGCGAAAATCTTCTCGCCAAAACAGTCCGACATGTATATATTCCACTACTCGACAGTCAGATTTATTTGTGTACTACGCTCTGGAGTATTCGGTAATCGACATAGCTAAAATTAGCATTTTCATTGATTAAGTTTTACGGAAATAACCGAACATTTTTCATTGGGTAAAAAAGATATTCATCCGCGAAATTTGTGATTGTAACCTCATATTTCTATTGACTAATCTAAACTTTTCATGCACTGTAGTTCGTTAAATGCCTACATTAAAAATTATTCTTTCTTTTAAATTGCTGGTTTTTAAGCAGTTTTGAGTGAGAACTACTTTGCGTTGTTAGGTCTGTTAGGAAATTTTGTGTTAGACCGTGGATGTAAGCTTTGTATTTACTGATCTTGCGATCAGAAAATACAAAAACGTTACATGGCTTTAGTATACTTAATTTTCAATTAACCAGGACTTAAACTATAGTCTGTCCCATTAAAAATGGAAATGAACTTTTGCCTAGTGTGAATTAACAAAACGAGGTTGAATAAAAATTAAACTATTTTTGTAAACTAGAAAAAAGTCACCCTCGAGATTTTTCAGGATTTTTCTCTACTGGCATGCGAGTAGTTCCCGTACAGAAGCAGTACCCGTATTTTTCATTTAAACGCTTGATTTTTACTTGCAATCTTCAAAAATTCATTTCAAATCAAGCAGATGCATAAAAGAGACAAAATCTAAGTGTCAGTTCGGCAGTACGTATAAAAGTCTCATTTTAAATCACTTTCACCTGTGCGTTGTCAAAACGTGACCTTGTTTTCTCTGGGGGATTCCGTCCTTGCGCGCATGCGCTAAAATACTTACACGTGAGGCCTGTTAAAGGGTTTTCCACTAATACTATCTGTTTACAGATAAGTAGGCAATGTGGTGAAAACTTGTTTAATTATCAGAATTTTGATCAATATTACTATATTAAATAATTTTATGGCTTTGATGCGTAAAATATCATGCATACAAGCATGCCATTGCATGAGAATGCGTTGGGGTAACGGTACCGGGTAATTGATACCAGCGTTTAGTCTACGCTCTATTTCCTGAATTACATCTATTTATCTCTTAGAAAATGGTCTGTTCAACAATTATAATTGAAAAATAGGTCCGATATAACAAAATTGTATAATTATAATGGGTTAAATTTTATGTACGGGAACTACTTCTCTTCATACAAAATAATGGATAATTTCGGTACCCCATATGAGGCCTCATAACTAAGGGTTATTCTATGTTTAGAACATGATGGAATTTCCATGATTTGTGTGACGAGCTGAATAGTGATGTGTAACATTAAAATTTTTGTGAGTGAGCGTTATAAAAAATAATGTTTAAGTAACTACGATTTTTGTACGGGAACTGCTCGCATGCCAGTAAAGTGTCTACTTTTCTTGTGAAAGCAAATTTTGATTTCTCTATGGTAAATCTCTGTTGTTTATTTTCCGTAGCCATTGCCGAAGTACTCTTCATTTGAAGATGAACGGGAGAAAGCACGTGTTATGTTTCTAAAATATACATGAGGTTCTCGGGGTCGTTTCATGATTATTTTACAAAGCTTTATCTACAAGATGTAACAGTTTAGTTGCAATGCATGATGGAAAACTTTAAAAAATGAAAAATAAACAACAAGAACACCGAGTCACACGGATTAGGACAAGAAATTGCACTTACTTTTAAGCTGAATAGAATCCCTATGAATTTCGAAATAGATCTTTACATGAACGCCACCACAAATTCGCATTCTGAAGATTCCTTCGATTCCTTCATTGCAAGTTTCTATCCAGCTCCGTAGCTTCAAAACTCCTGAATGACATGACTCCTACACTTATGATGATCCAGATTTTTTAAACTGTTAATCCGTCTCATTATTAAAGCATTGTTCCATTTGTGAAGTTATCTGGGTTAGCAAATGAAATATGTAAATGAAACACATCATAATTCAGTATGTTCCAAATACATAATTCAAGAACGGCCCATCAAATTTAGTTCACAATGTTTATAACTCTTGAAAATGGATTCCTGACGAAAAAAACTTTATTACGTCAACAACAATTTACGAAATATATGACGTAACAAAAATGCCTCGTGCTTCCAGTTGCGGCATTGACAGAGGGCGGTTAGGCC